TCCTCAACATTCCATTTGTCACTTTAACTTCTAAGAATTTAACCATACGACATTCCTTAGTAAGCCATTTCACAATTTCAAACGAAAAAACAAAGTAGGCATCATCTGCAGCCTGGTTTGACAAAAATCTTCTCTCAACTATCACATTCACAATGAGGCCCGTTTACCTTCCGCGGCAATCTCAATCAAGCTCTTATTAGAATTCTTGGATGTTGATTTGCTATATGTCTACACTGTTAATATTTATTTGTAGTCATGCCAAGAATCAAGAATCATCATATAATAAATTAATAAAACGAATTCATACCTACGGAAGCCATTGTTGATATAAATGACAGTTGTAATAGCAGTCAAAATCTTCCCCTCCTTACTCCTCACAAAATATTAGCTATCAATGGGGCAAGCCAAAAAAACATATGGAGAGGAGAGGAGACCTAACCTTTATATATAGGAAATAATTTTAGCCGTCCCATTACGACTAGAATTCTAATTAGGGTTTATTTCCGGCCCACATACTTTAAATTACCACATCAAATTAATTACAACCCATAAGGTGTAAAAGACCCAATTGATCACTTAATAAATTTGGCCCAAACACAATTATCATTATGAGCCATATATCTACCCCGTAAAATTTTGCAATCAAACGTGAAGCCCACGTATGGAATTATTAATTATTCCAACATTCTCCCACTTGGACAAACATTTGATTGCCATAACAAAATTTTAGCACCCGGGTTAGACTACATAGGTGGTCACAAAAGTATAGCTCCAATGATAACACCTTACGTAACATGATCTGGTCCAACAAGAATATTAACACCGAACATGAAAGTCATTACACCAATTTAAGAGATGTAAGACCATTCCACAGCTACAAATATCAACATCCTTATCGACATGGATCCCCATCTTTCAACCAATGTGGTAGTATGTGGTATAAACTGAACACCAAATGTGATAAAAAAATGTGCTAACTCATATCGATCCTCATAATGTTTCGAATCAAAATGAAGCCACATGTCTCTAAAAGAGACTCATCTTATGTCTTCATACATCATATTTCAAGATGTTAATAATATAAAAAGATATAAGTCAAATGCATGCTTAAAATAATTCATGAATAAAGAAAAAATTATTTTATTATCAGAAGGGGCTGTATCCAAAAACATATACGTTGCCTACGTACCCCGCAAAGAGATCAATCCCAA